AGGTTCTGATAGGTTCTGGAGAACCGGTAGTGGAAATTTTGAGTAGTTCAGAGAACCGGCAAACAGCACCTCTGGCTGGTCCCAGAGTGGGGTGGGAATAGAAATTTTGCAATATCCTTTCCCCAGGAGTGGGGAGGGAATGGGGATTTTGCAGTATCCTTCCCCTGGAGTGGGGTGGGAATGGAGATTTTGCAGTATCCTTCCCCTGCCACTCTCACCAAGCCACACCCACAGAACCGCTAGTAAAAAAAATGGATTTTACCTCTGCTCCAAATAGATTACTACCTCAACTGCCAGAATTCCCAGTCCCTAACATCAATGTTATGAATTCTGGGAACTGTAGTTCCAATATATCTGGATATCAATAGAATGGAAAAAACTAACATTCTCTGAGGAAAATTGTATTGTGAGCTTTTAAACATTGATATATTCCTTCTTTTTTCCTCTACCTTCATTTTTCTCCCTTTGCTTCTGTTGTTGAGTTTGTTAAGCATTTTGGGGTCATTCGCCTATTTGCTTGCTATGCATGTTGACGGTGTCTTGTAAATAAATTATCACTTTTTAAAAAATCACTGGCTTCATATGCAACCCATCTTTGCTTATTAGCTATGTATCCAGCTTGTTCCCAAAAGAATATGTTACTAATTTGGATATTTGTTGAGCAAATGGAAGAAGGACTAAATTTGTAGCTCATTATTCCCCCCTCCTCTCACTCTGCTTTAAAATTTGCCAGATCTTGAGGTTTCTTCCTTTTCTTTCCTTGTTAAGGATGTGCACCAGTTGATATGAAATATGACCATCTGTGTCATCATGGAAGTGGGAAAACTTTACTTGGTGTGTGGCATGTTAACATGAATTTATTTGGGGTTGTCAGATCAGAGCCCCAAATATCCGTGGCTTTGCAGAAGAAGGCAAGATTGTGCAAAATTTCCTTTTCAGATGACTCTTTCTTAAACGAGGGAAGCTGTTAATTCCAAATTCTTCTTCCTTTATGCAAGAAAAATTTATACATTTATTGTAGTATAAGATTTTGGGAATCACAGCTAAGATTACCAAATGCATGCCGTATGAACTTGAGAGGAATGTTGCATATTGTATACAGACACAGTTGTCGGGAGTACGGAGAAGCAGAAAGAGAAACAGCACAGATAATCCTTGATTTACGATGACAATTGAGCCCAAAATTTCTATTGTTATTAAGTGAGTCTTGCCCCATTTTAACAGATTAACAGAGTTGGAAGGGACCTTGTAAGTCATCTAGTCCAACCCACGCCCAAGCAGGAGACCGTACACCATTTCTGACAAATGGCAGTCCAGTCTCTTCTTCAAAGTCTCAAGTGATGAAGCTCCCACAACTTCTGATGACAAGTTGTTCCATTGGATTCCATTTTAGTAATAGCAATAGCACTTAGACTTATGTACCGCTTTACAGTATTTTACAACCCTCTCTAAGCAACCCAGCACTTTTGACATGCACCAGGAAAGAAGCCTTCTCCCAACCCACTGGTAGCATTACTGGGCAATGCAAAAGGCTTGGCACGATGAAAAATGCCTGCAGATGCCACTGCCTGATTGATGGAAGGAGAGCACATTTTGCTACCTGTGTGTCTTGAGTATCATATTTGCTACTGCAGGGAGAATGGTCTTATAAGCACAATGCTTAAGGTAGGTACAGTCCTCATTCTGTCAGATGGAATTCCTGTAACTGTAGGGATGCTTCCATTCAAGTATCTGGCTACAATGCAGAAATGGTTTTGCCATTTCCTGCTTCCAAGAGGTTTCCGATTTCCCCATCTAGCCTGCAGCTCTCAATGCCCCAGAAGCCGTGGTGAAATCTAAAATTTGTTACTACCGGTTCCGTGGGCATGGCTTGGGTGGGGGGGGTGTAATGTGACTGGGTGGGCGTGGCCAACTTTTTTTTTTTTTTACTTTTAAAAGCATTTTTCTGTATTTTCTGTCTAAGAGGTTGCAGAAAAAAATGCTTTTAGAAGCCTCTGACGATCAGGCAACTCAGCTGGGATCGCCAGAGGCTTTTAAAGGCATTTTTTTTCCTACAATCTCTGCGGCCGAAGAAGTTGTAGAAAAAAATGCTTTTAAAAGCCTCTGATGATCCCAGCTGAGCCGCACGATCATCAGAGGCTTTTTTTTTACTTTTAAAAGCATTTTTTCAGCTGAAGAGGTTGTAGAAAAAATGCTTTTAAAAGTAAAAAAAACAGCCTCTGATGATCGCGCAGCTCAGCTGGGCATGGGGGGGGGGGAAACGCAGGGATTTTTGATACCGGTTCTCCCAACCATCCGCCGCCATCACTACTGGATTGGGTGATCGGGTCCGAACCGGGAGCATTTCACCCCTGCCCAGAAGCCTCCATCCTTCCAGTCGAAGCCAGGACCAAGCCCTGCTTAGCCAGTCAGCTGAATGCTTACATAGTGTATGCAGGATGATAGTAAGACGTGGTGTCTATTTGTTTTCTTTCCCTACTCTATCCATCCCCCACCTTCCCAAGAGTTGCATATGGAATGCATCTTTCTTGGAATTATGCTCCGATATATAATACAAGAAAGCATGTGAAACATTGCATTTCCATAAGATTGTTTTTCCATACGTTGTTTTATGTCCAAATAGGGCAAAAAAAAAAAAAAAATCCTTTGGCAACACTTATTCTTCTCTTTGCCTATCCAGCAATGGATGAAAGTTATCCTTAGCAGTCCTGCTGGTAATATAGGGTTTGCTTCGTTATTCTATGACCAAGGCATATAAAATGTATTAGGCTTTGTCACCCATTATTTTCTTTAATGGGCTAAAAGTGACTAGGAACAGAGACAGGAGAAGGTGATGATCTGAAACAAGGAAAGCAAATATGATACTGACAGTATTGCACACTGTGGGCAGATGGGCAGATAGCATGTTAATATCAAACTGCAAAAGACTCCAGTAGAAGAGAATATATGTATCCGAGGATTGTACTCTGGAGTCCTTGGTGTTGAGTTTGGCTGTTTGTTTGCAGACATTTCATTTCCAACCAGCTAACATAACTAAGAGTGAGTGTGAGGCAGGGGTGAAATGCTCCCGGTTTGGAACGGATCGGGAGATCCATTTAGCGATGGCAGCGGGTAGTTCGGGTAGTAACCAGTAGCAAAAATCCCTGCCCCCCCTCACCCATGCCCACCCAATCGCCCAGTCCCCACTTGCCCACTTGGCAGCTTGCTGCTTCTTTCGGGCTCGCTCACTTTTCCTGCCTTGCTTTGGCTGCTGCAATCCATTGCATCCGCTAGCAACTTAATCTGCCTGCCTGCAATCAATGCAATCGGTGAGCAGTTCAATCTGCCTGCCTGCCTTGTGCCTTCAATTTGTTAAGTAACTGGGTTTTTTGGGGTGGGGGTTTAAAAAAATAGTTAATTGGGGGTTTTTTTAGGAGGTTTTTTTTTTTTTTAGACAGCAATTTAAAGTTAAGGAAGTTTTAATTTTAGCTGCTTTTATCTAAAAATATAAATAAAATAAAATAATAAAATAAAATAATATATTTGTGCAGCTTTCTGAGATTTGGTGTGTTTCTGTAGTGTTTCACTTTAACTACACAAACACACAAAATCTCACAAAGCTGTATGTGGCATTTTGTGTGGAAAAAGTGTGAAAGTTGGTTTTTGAGCTTTTTGTGGCTGTGTGAGGTTCCTGCTTATTGCAGGGCCATTTTGGGTCAAGTGCAGCTGCTTTTACACTGTGTGCGTGTCAGGTGTGTTGTGTTATGTTGTGTTGTGTGTGTGTAAAGTGTAAACGTTGGTTTTTGGTACCTCTTATTGTTTTGTGTACTTTATTATTTTTATTTATTGCTATTATTGGCCATGCCCACCGGTCACCTGACCAAGCCACGCCCACCAATTAAGCCACGCCCACAGAACCGGTAGGGAAAATTTTTAGATTTCACCCCTGGTGTGAGGTATGGACAAACTCAGCTTCTCCCACAGAAAATGTTTTGGAGTTAATAACACTCTATGCATCCACGGAGATTCTCAATCCAGGTCATGGTTGTTCCAAAGGAATTGGACTTTCTGGTTTTTCTTTGAAGATGTTTCCAGAGCTGAAGAAGCTTCTTGGATGAGAAGTGAAACGTCTTCAAAGAAAAACCAAAAAGTCCCATTCCCTCTTGAAAAAGCACCTTTGGGACATTCTATGCACTTGATAAAATTGACTTTTGTCCGTTTAAAAGAAAAGAAAAAAAAGCATAAAACTGTCTTTTTATTTACTAGAAATATATCCTAACTTTTGTCCAAATCAGGATAGTGGGAAAAGAAATCTTCATTCCCTAAAACAATTCCATGAAGTTGGTTGGGCTAAAAGAGAATGACCAGCTCAGATCTCTTACTGTTTTGTGAGTTGGGCAGCAATATAAATTTATTACTTATTTTATGAATAATTTTTATTAAAATAGATTTAGAAAACTACATAAACATAGAAGAATTTGAAAAAGGTGATAAAAGGATAAAAGAAAATGTTAATAACAAAAAGCAAGAAAAAGAACATTATCTTACGGAGTAACTTCCCATCTTTGTGGCAAACATAGTAGTTACCACGTTCACCCTCCCATCGTTCTCTTCTTCCTAACAAATCTTTTTAATCAGCAATTTATTTTTTGTCCATTTTCAATAAAAAGCCTACAAAGGGTTTGCAGCCAGTTTCCAGATAATAACTGAGTGGGTAAATGGTCCCCCCCAGTTCAACCCTACTTGATGAAGTAGGGTTGCACAACAGTTTGCTTTAAGGGGGAGATTTAGTAGCTCGGCTATCAAGGGAGTTGTTGAGCACATCTAGTCCAGATCACACCCCATTAAGTTCTTGCTTCATGGTTAAGTGAATGGTTTAATTGGATCAGGCTGACTGTCATACACGGAATGATTAGCGCTCCAAAAAAAATCAGTTGAGTATTCCTACCGACATTGTTCATCGGATCATAATAATCTTTCTTTTAACTGCAACGAAGTACAAAGTACAAGAACAATGGAAGTAGCTGTTTGTCCTTCAATTTATTGCTGAACTTTAATAATACAAGCTGTATAAAAATATTTTACAAAAAGCAAAATCACAATTAAACTTGAGATTAAAACATAACAAGGGGGCAATAGAACAGATACAACCCACCATTCCTGTGGGTTTTTTTTTTTTGGCTTTTAGTTAAAAATAGGTGAGCGAGCAGTTTAGTCATGTGTTAAAATTTGAGCAATAAAGCTGCTTTCCATTTAGGTCTATGACTCTGTGACTGAATCAAGCAGGCATGACTAGCTGCAACCTAGGCTGAATATGTACCTTGCCGCACTTGGAAATATATGTTCATTTTGGCTTCCTTGCCATCCAAAGAAAACTTATTTCCCCATGTTGAATTGCTTCTTAGGGTAGTTTATTTTAAAAGTTAGTTTGGAATTCCTGCTTGTAAAAACGTGTTGATGACTAGGAAGCAGAAGCAAAGAATTATTTTAAGCCAAATGTATCATTCGGAGGTATAATTCTTTTAATTTGGATGTATAGTTCATTAATTTGGCTTATGGGGTTGGAAAATCAGAAATCTTTGATGTCGCTTGAGAAGAGCTCCATCTGATCAGATAAAGCCCAGCCTCCTGTTCACACAGTGGTCAGCCAGATATTTCTGGGAAGCCCACAAGAAGGACAGGATTGCAAATCTTCTCATACTAGACAAGCAGCAGCTGGAATTCAATGGCATAATCTTAATGGGTCACAGTTGCCAAGGGACCAATGCTATTCATTCTCTCTCTTTCTCTCTCTCTCTCTCACACACAAAATCTCAGACACGAATACTGAGACAATATTCTTAATTTTGTTTTAGGGGTGTTACCTGATGCTAATCCTCATTTTTCAATAGCAATTCCAAGTGGCGCTTGGTAATTCACTGAGACCTTTCAAAGCAGCTGAATTAATTGAGAGACAATGAGATTTTTTGGAGGGTGGGTGGGGGGAGATGGGGAGAAACTCAATAAGAGTAGACTGGGTTTTGATATATTTTACATTCCACGTTCTTTGTCACCATTTGAGGGCAACTGATATCAGGAACGAACAGGAATGAGGATACATACAACACAAGCTGAATAATTATATGCATAACATAACTTGCATTTCATTTTCTCCAACACAAAAATTAGTGGTCTGTTGGTAGGGTATATAATGACCACATTCCTGAGACACCCGTTATCTGATTTAAAAAAAAATTAACTATGGATTGCAATTTATTGTGCTTATAATTTACAGCAGTGTTTCTCAACTTTGGCAGCGTGAGAATATGTGGACTTCAACTCCCAGAATTCTGGGAGCTGAAATACGTACATATTCCTGTTGCCAAGGTTGAGAAACACTGATTTACAGTATACTAATTATGATAGTCATTTTCCTCATGAAGAGTTTTAGGATACATCTATGTACCCTTTTAAATTGCATCTTCCTTTCTGATCTTTTTTTGTCAGCTTATATTCAGGTATCCATCTTCGAAATTGTGAGGACTAACTTAAAAAAAAAATAAAGAAAAGAAAAAGTGGGATTGTCAAAATTCTCAATCTCTCACAGGCCCTGTGCAAGAGGACTGTAGGGTTCCCTTGGCATAATACAATTTTGGCCTAAATGAATCTATACAATTGCTCTCAGCATCTTCCTTCAACACTATGCACAATGCCCTGGAAATCCAGAAAGATGCAGATACCAACTTGTTAAATTTGTTATATACAGGTATTCAGAAATAAACAAAAATTTTACAAGCAGGATTACTGATTGGCCAGTGAAGCAGACAATAGATGTTTGCAGCTGAAATTAGGGAAAAAATGCAGTTTCTTTGCTTGTGTACTTATGTTCTTTAATCATCCAATGAAGCAAGATAAAGGATGATTCATGGATCACATCAAATAGGCACTAAAGCATCTATGAAGGTCATGTATGTTATGAGTCTATAGGACTGTTTTTTGGGGGTGTCCAAAAATCACAGCATTAGAGGAAGCGGTGTTAAGTCTTTTGTCCAACCCTTGCTTGATTCTCTGGGAGAGCATGAGGGGAAGCAGCTGGTTAAGGAAAGAATTTATTTAAGAAACCCTGAGGGAGCTTCCTTACATACTGCTCTCCATAAGCACAAGAATATACTCAGTGAGTTCAACAGTACTTGCCTCCATAGAATAAGCCTTTCTGAAGGCTTCAGCTGAAGAAAAGACACACTATTTAGAAACACCACCATGGAGGTGTCTTATTTTTCGTAGCAACCAGGAAATATCATAGATAATTCCTCCTTTAAAAAAAAATCTTATAGTACATATATATATAACACCCATATCCCCCCTAAAAATACAACAGGCAGTGGGTTGAAACCAACAGTCAAGAAGCAGCTTTTCTATATAATCAAATGCTCTCTTTGCAAATGTTTATAACGTGATGCATTCCAAGTAAGATGTATAGATAGGCAGAGTCCAATCAAGCCAAAGACATATGCATCTTCTCAAATCCTGTGACCGCTAATGTGTGAGGAAAAACAGAGATTCTCAAAGGGTGGATTATGAACCTCTGGGGGGGGGGAGAGCGGGCATGGGGTGGGTGGGTTTACAGCATTTTTAGTTGATCAGACTGCCCAGACAAAGCAGGCAGGAGGGCTGTCAATGCTCATTTATGATTTGCCTGAGAAAAAAGCCCAGGAAAGCTAAACCTGTGGGTCTAGCCAACCGTCAGCATCATTTGCCAATCAAAGCAGCACTGTGATTGATGCCAGCTGACAAATTCTTGCCAAGTGGTGACTTCCCATATGGCATGTAATAGAATATCTGTGATTTGGGTGTGACTATAGAAGTAAATTTCAATATTTTTACCCATTATGTTCAATTTCTAGCCTTTCAAAATGGACATTTTTGGTGAGCGGGAAGAGAAGCATTTAAAATGATCACTATAACCACAGTGCTCACCCAATTAAGATTTAAGTCAAACATTTATGATGATAATGGCATATCTTTTAGTAAGTGGGGTATTTATTTCTTGCCTAACTCTAACTTCTAAGAATGGATTTGTTTTATTCATTTAGTTATTCAAATTAGGAATCAGAACATTTGAGAATGACTGAATTAAAACACATGTTTCAGAAATTTTCTCTCTAAATTCAATGGAATTATGCTTTCTATAATAGATATTACTATTACACAAGAAGACCGGATGTTGAACAGAATAAAGGGTATAACAAATTATTATAGTAAACTACTGTCTAGCAAAAGATACATGGAAAAGTGCTTCAGTTTGTCTGGATTGAACCCACAGCCAGTATTAACCAAATGTATTTTGTATTAACCAAATAAGTATTTTGGTATTCTTTCCATCTCAGTATCGCTATTATTCAAATAAGCCTACATTTCTCCTCCAAACACACAGATCAAAAACCAGAGGAAAGGAAAAGGAAAAAAGAATTCCTCACAATGAAAAAAAAAAAATCCATTCAACTCACAAAACATTCTCACGTGCAGTTTTTCTTTGGTATTCTTTAATGCCAAATGCATTCCAAAGTAATGAAAAGCTTACTAGCCTCTCCAACATCAACTGACTGTTTACATATTAAGATGGATGACTTCATCTATTTAGTGCAAAAGTTTACAGATACTCATCCTGTAATATGTAGGCCTAAGCTGCGATTAAGAAATAATAATGTTGAAAAAAAAATGCCACTGAGTTACAATAAACTGCTTTGACTTTAGCATAATAAAACACTAATGGAAAATGCATTACAGTTGTTCACTTGATAGACAATGCTTTGTGAGGCCTTTTGGTACAATGACAGGAAGGCACTTGTCATGAAGCTTTCAGATAACTGAGGGGAAAAAGAATAATTTCCTCATATGCAGCTATGGCTGTCTTCCAGATAAACTGAGAACAAATTACTCACACAAGGCAGTTAATTGTCCAAGGCAAACCTTACATTTCTTTAGACCAAAGTAATAATTAAAAAAAAAAGTTTACATGAAGTTTACATATGTTAACTGTAGAACTATTGCAAAACCAAAATAAATAATTTCATTCATTGAATGTTTCAGAATTACCTGTACTATCTTAAATGTATCCAGTTATTCTTTAAGACAAACATCTGTAGAGGAATGTATTTGCTTGAGAAATATATATTTGGTTAAGGCTTTAGTATGAGCAAATGGTTGCTTGCTAAATATTCTAAATCAGACACAGTAGGACAGCTTGCCAACACGTAACCATTATATATATTTATATATATATTTTTAAAAAATCATGTAGTCTATACTACACATAAATGAATGTATAATGCAGCAAAGGAAGATGCTTAAGATAAGAATACAATGCTGCATCCAAATGCTCTGGTTTTTTTAGATATTGCCAAGAAGCAGACAAAGAAGCAATATGGCCATCCTGTTGTCATTCCTTATGGTTTCAATCCAGGGGTGAAATCCAGCAGGTTCTGACAGGTTCCGGAGAACCGGTAGCGTTAATTTTGAGCAGTTCGGAGAACTGGCAAATACCACCTCTGGCTGGCCCCAGAGTGGGGAGGGTATGGGGATTTTGCAGTATCCTTTCCCTGGAGTGGGGAGGGAATGGGAATTTTGCAGTATCCTTCCCCTGCCACGCCCACCAAGCCACAGCCACCAAGCCACACCATGCCCACCAAGCCACGCCCACAGAACCGGTAGTAAAAAAAAATGGATTTCACCACTGTTTCAATCCATAGGAAATGAAAGAGAACTAAGAACCTTACTTTTCATGTTTGCGTATACTTTAGAAGAGCTTGTAAGAACATTTGATCAAGTAGTTGGATCAGCAAGAATTGCAGCTCTGTATCTAACAACAACTCTGGAGTGATATTTTTCATCCTCTGCAGTAATTCACTGGCATAAATAACAGGAATATTCCTGGTTCACAAATAATATTAAGCCATTAGGTGGTTGGTTGGGTTTTTCGCTTAGTGACAGATATACAAACCCATCTCTACAAAGAAACAGTAGTTATAAGTCAGAAAGGGTAAATTTCACACCAAATCTAGGTAAAAATAAATGGACGCAAGGATTTACTACTGTATATAAACCAGGGATGCCAATGTCCTTACAGAAGGCAATTGCAAATCATCTGCATATTGTTACCAAAGAAATTATAGGTTTGTGGCCATGGAGTCAAAGGAATTAAGTTCAACTCAAAGGACACATTACTTTTTAATCCAAAAATAGCATCAGATTTGTCAAGAATGTATTTCCTAGAGCTGGTGTTTTAGAGCTTAAAAGCCAAAGCAAGGTTGCATCACATCCTTAAAACTCTCTATAGATTAGGCAGATCAAGATAAACAAGTTGTATAAAACGATGGTATACTCGTGAAAGAAAAATAACCCAGCAAAGAAATCCAAATGGGAAATTTCTTTGGTATTTTATACTTGGCACAAAAAAGGACTCCAAGTTGTGGTGTGCTTTCTAGGTATCTAGACAAACAATTGAGGATTAGTGGTGAAAATGATTATGAAGTGTATTCAAGGACTGACATTAAAGGATAATTTGAAGTGAAACTGAAAACTGATTCATATAATAAAAGTTTATGCTTAACTTTGAGGAATTAGATTAGCTGCAACTAGAAAATTATTTTTGTACTTATCTCTACTACTATCCAATTCAGCTGCTTTTCATCATTTCCTTTATTTCACTTCTCTGAATCAAGCTTAGGAAAATATAGACAAAAAGTTTCCATGCGTAGATACATATATTGCAAATGTACTCTTATCAGTCCTACTTTCCATGCCCAATTATAAATTTGGACATTGGGACCAATCCTCAAGAAACCAAAATCAAATTGTTAGCTGGCAATTACAATAGTTTTATTAATTTTTATCAGTTCTTTAAGAACCTTATTTGATGGAATGTGGATAAGCCTACGTATGCCTGAAAATTATGCACTTCCAATTTGTATCATGTGAGTTACATAGACTGATCTGCAGTTTAAATTTTACAAGGGATGAAGAAACTACAACATATATTGGGCAAAAGAGTAAAAAGATGTTGTGGCTTCTTCTGGCAACAAAAAATTTAGAGAAATACCGTATTTTTCGGAGTATAAGTCGCACCTTAGTTTTTGGGGAGGAATATAAGAAAAAAGCTGATTGGCAGGTGGATCGGCCTCCTGGAATACCCCCAATCAGCTGTTCCCAGAGGTGAATTTTAGCAACAGGTTCGTTGGTTGTGAGCTCTGTGCCTTGCTTTTTTTTCCGCCTCTGAAACTTCTGAAACTGTTTCAGAAAAAAACTTTTTTTTTTTTGCCTCTGAAAGCCTCCGAAACAGAGCTTCAGAAAAAAATGCTTTTTTTCTGAAGCTCTGTTTGGAGGCTTTTTTTCTGAAGCTTCTTTCAGAGGCTTTTATTCTGAAGGACTATCTGTATTCTGTTCAATCTCCTTTCTTTGGTATTGGTATATAGATTAACCTCTTCTGATCTGTTGGTTATTGTGTCATTCTGCAGATTTGTTAGCATAGTTTGGTTAGAACCTTTACTGATTCTTCTTTTGTTGCTTGCCATATTATTTTAAATAAAAGCCTTTCAGAGGCTTTTTTTCCCTGAAACTTTGTTTCTGAGGCTTTTTTTCTGAAGCTTCTTTCAGAGGCTTTTTTCAGCCTCTGAAATCTCCCTTTGCAAGGCTGGGCAGGGCTACATTCGGAGTATAAGACGCACCCAGATTTTCACCCTCTTTTTTGGGGGGAAAAGTGCTCTTACACTCTGAAAAATACAGTAACATCTAAATGCAGAATACACAATGATAATCCTCAGTAGAAAAAAAAATTACATTTTTGGAGGGAAAAACCGTATTGTAGCACAAATAAAAAGAAGCTCTGGAATTTTTTGAAAATTTGATAGCTGCTAGAATGAATAAATCAGTAAGTCCTACATTCTTTAACCAATTAAATTACTCTTCATCACACATTTCTATGCTTAACCGATTAACTTAGTATCTCACATTCCCTATGAATATAATTATGCCATCTTGTGATTTTTACCATGAGTTGAATGACTGGATAGATCTGCAAAACTTCCACTGTAAAACCATAAAAGCAGTTTCCAAATCAAGTTGAGATGATTCATTTACTTAAAAAAACTTTTTGTTACTTGTATGGATGGGAAAGAATCTAAAATAAATCAGTTTTAAATCTGTACACTGTACAGTAAAATGCTGCATAGAACATTGTGGAATAGAATGCACACTCCAGCTAAAGTTAAATATTTTAGCTTTAACATTCATTTCAGAGTTTCAAACGCAGGTTCAGCTCTCTTCTGTAGACGTTGTTTAGTTTTTTAAAAAATGCTTAATTGTTGACTGCATTGTGTTTTGAGTTTACATACTTTCTAGTTCAATGAAAATATGGCTTTGGTGCATCTAAAAATAGAGCAAAGATATGACAAAGCTACAACTAAAAAGCTACTTTACATTCTCACTAGAAGCTGTGCCCACACCAGATGATTTTCATCTGTTTTCCATTGCAGCAGCCTCCTTGTTGCACTTTGATGTTATTGTTTTTTTAATTTTTAAAAAAACCCTGTGAATCTATGCAGAGCAATAGTCATGCTTCTGTTTGAAAGAAGAATAAAAACAATGTTGCATACGTAGATCTGTTCCCTTTCATTTAAGGGAGGGAGGTTCAATGCTTGAGTATTCGAAGTTTAAAATTTTGTTTCTGGCTATGCATTGTGACCGTTCGAGAAACCTAATTCATTGTTGTTGTTTTTTGTTGAGTTGGCAATTGTAAAATTCATCCAACGTCTATAACATGCATTCATGTACACAACCATACTTTAGTTCAATAAAAGTTTTTGGACCTTTTCCCCCCAATTGTCATTTCTAGTCCATGTATGCATCCTTAGTCACTTCAGTAATCTACGTCAGGCACTTGCAAGGTTACATGAGAACGGTATGATCTTTGGACAAAAGGAAGAGTTTTTTTCTTTGATGTTTACAATGAGAGGTGCTGAGTGGCTTACATAAAATTGTCAGCTGGATGCCAGTGCATTGTTCCTGGTGTTGAACTGGTGCCTTGAGATGATCAGTTGAGGAAACAAAAGGCAAGCAGGACAAGAGAAGAATCTTAGAAGTCAGATACGGATGGGTTCTGCAAAAGTTGCCTCATAAATCTCATCTTCTATGTCTGACTTCTGGCAGGGAGTCCAGAAAACTCTTTCCTGATAATTTCATTAACTGGGAAGGAAAAGAGAGACAGAGAGAGAGAGAGAAAGAAACACAAAAGCAGAAACGTTACTGTGCAGAAAATGCGAAAGAATCTAATATAAAGCCACCTGTGTGGTGGCTGTTGAAAAGCTGGCATTCAATAATGGGTTAAGACTATGACCAATCTGGCAAAGACAAGTCCCAACTGCTGGAGTGCAGCCATGAAGCCTGCTAGATGGTCTTCAGTCCATCATTATCGTTCAGCCTCAAGTAGCTTGCAAACTGTAAAGAAGATGGAAAGAAAAGGGGACAAAATATATATATATACTTTTCTGGATTCCTGGAAGGAATGGGAGTTTTCATTTCTGGTTTATTTAAAGTAATGTAATATAATAATGCAACACTTCACTGACTTTTATAAATACAGGATCGACACAGATGTAATGCACTTTGATTACTGAATCCTGTCCAGATTGCAGAGGGAACACTCTTGCAAGCTCATTCTCATTTTTCATGTTTTGTACCAACTATGGATCATTCAAATCATATTCTGCAGTGCCAGTCAGATTGTGACTTGCTAAAATATGGTCCTGTTAACTGTATTACTCAGTTAGGTGAGAAGAGTTCCAGGCAGTGTACAAAATACCCTCAATACATTTATATTCTCCACTGTTTAATGAACATATTGGTGATTTCTCACAGTAAAACTCTGCTTGCTAATGTATAGTCTACGTGCCTATATATTGCTCAAATTTTCTTCACTAAAACTCAATGAAGCTGTTACAGGCAGACAGTCTTGGCATAATGTTTATGAGGTTGCAAATCTTTGGAAGTGACTAAACAATCCATTTTGCTATATATTGGAGACAAAGCACCATGTTGTGCAATCACCTGTAGAATATGCTATTGTTAAAAAAAAAGGCAACTTTTTTGTCTTGTCTTGTCTTGTCTAGTCTATTGCTTCTATTCTTCCCTTGTGTATTCAACCAAATATGTATTGAGAGGGGCTGCTTTGGTATAAAATCATCAAGGGTTCAAAATTAGAGAAAGAAACATGCATTATCCTGATGGCCCTACTCTTATAACTGCAAATACAAAGGTTTGGGAAATTCTAGTAATGAAAGTCAAAGTGCACAATTAAAAAATGGTTAACACTTAAATATAAAGAAGACCAGACTAATGACATCACATACAACAACCATCCTTAAACGTGACAGATATCCTGAAGTGGGAAATAGATTTGCTTTTTAGGACTGATTGACAACAATAAAGGAACGAGAAATGCATCTGATGGAGTGGTAGGTTTGCAGTGAAAGCCTTAGAAAGGATATTTAGATGCCATGATGCATCTATATCTACAAAGGTCAGAATGCAGTGATATTCTCTCCGACACTGTATGAAAGCAGAAGTTGGACTTTGAAGAAGCAGATCAAAGGAATACTGTATTGAAGCTTTTGAGCTCTGGTGTTGGAGAAAGCTCCTAGGAATACTATGGATAACTAAGAAAATAAAAAACTGGATCATAAAATGAATCAATCCAGAGATTTCATTTAAGGCAAAATGACCAGGTTCAATTTATTATATTCTGGATGCTTGTTTAAATCCAGTTCCTCTGATGACTCCAAAATGCTGGGAAAAGTGGAAGGAAAAAGAAACAATGTCCGGCAGAAAGATGGATGGATTTAATGACAGTGGTGATGGGAGACCAGATGGGCAACAGGTCATCCTGGAGAAGATCTATTTATATGGTCACTAAGAGCTGACAGAGCTGGGCCATAATTACTGTTGTTATTGTTACTAATTTAAGTTGCAATCTGCATTTCTGAGCAAAATTTTGGTCATTATATAACAGTTACTGTGCTGGGCAAAAAAAAAAAATGCAGCCAGAATCCAACCAAACTGTTTCAGAATAATGAGGTCAGCTCTTAAAGGAAGAAAGGTGGTACAGGTAATCCTTGACTTACGACCACAATTGAACCTAACATTTCTGTTGCTAAGTGAGACAGTTGTTAAGTGAATTTTGCTCCATTTTACAACCTTACTTGCCACAATTATTAAGCGAATTGCTGCAGTTGTTAAATTAATCTCGCTTTGCTTGTCAGAAGGTTGCAAAAGGGAATCACATGATCCTGGAGCACTGCAACCATCATAAATATGAGCCACTTGCCAAGCATCTGAGTTTTGATCATGCGACTATGGGGATGCTGCAACGATAGTTAACTGTGAAAAACAATCCTAAGTCACTTTGAATGGTCGCTGTAAATAAACAGCTGTAAGTCGAGGACTATCTGTATGTGAGGCTGATCTGGGCTGACAAAATTATGAATAAAGTGGAAGGCAACATGGTGAGATTATAAATACTATAAATCAGGATTGTTCAAAGGTAACAGCTGTATTTCCCCAGGGCTCTTATTTAAACCGTGGAGCTACTTCCAGAAAATACTGTGATTGATGCCGATTGGGATAGCTCTAGAAAAGTGATTACCGTATTTTTCAGAGTATAAGACACACTTTTTTCCCTCCTAAAAGAGGCTGAAAATTTGGGTGCCTCTTATACTCCGAATGTAGCTTTTTCGAAGCTTTTTTTCAGCCCTACCAAGGTGCTAGCGAGTGATCTACCTCTGACTCTCAGCTGTGCTTTAGAAGCTTTTTCAGTGAAGCGATCTTCCCTGCTTTGCCTGCTCCCTCCGACTCTCAGCTGTGAAGCTTTTTTTCAGCCCTAACAAGGCACTAGCGAGTGAAGTGCTTTCCCTGCTCCCTCTGACTCTCAGCTGTGAAGCTTTTTTTCAGCCCTAATGAGGTACTAGCAGTGAAGTGATCTCAGTGGTTTGCCTGCTTTTCTCATTGCTTCTCTCTCCAAAGATCAGCTGTGCTTTAGAAGCTGTTTTTTATCCCCAAGCAAGGGATAAAAAACAGCAAACTAATGTGCTGAAGCTGACCAGACTAAGGACGCTAGACAGATGAATACCTGGTAGGCAGATTTTTTTTTTCCTATTTTCCTCCCCAAAAATTAAGCTTATATTTATACTCCGGTGCGTCTTATACTCTGAAAAATACGGCAGATACTTTAAATTAGATACTTTAAGTGATTTAGATACATTAAAACTAGGTAAGTTTTAATGGCTGTTAGTTATTATGATTATACATTAGACCTACGGTGTGGTTCTGAATACCAGTTGTTGAGAAAAAAGGTGGAAAGAGCTATTTGTAGGGAGTGCTTTGTTACTCTGATAAAGGTTCAGATGAAGCACCTTTCAAAACTGTTTCGCCAAGCAATACAGCCCCTTCGTTTCTAAGAGAAAAATGAAATTGTTGTGTTGTTGCTGTTCTCCTAATTCTCTCTACCTCCTCCCCAGCTTTCTCTGACCTTTTCCGTCATGTCCAGAACGCTCTGTACCACTTTCTATTCCAGAATAATAAATTCTAGAATACAATACATTGGCTCTGTAAGGGGCAGGGACATTTTGGCATATTTTGGGAATGTCACAGTGGAGACTGGAATGTTCTGGAATCAGACCGTGAGGTTGTGAACATTCTGGTCTCAGCAAGCATGAAAATTAACTGATAGGATCATTGGTATGTCAAGATGGGCTTACATCAGAGATGGGCAACTATGCAGTGGTGAAATCCAATTTTTTTTACTACCGGTTCTGTGGGCGTGACTTGACTTGGTGTGGCTTGGTGGGCGTGGCTTGGGGACATGGCAGGGGAAGGACACTGCAAAATCTCAATTCCCACCCCACTCCAGGGGAAGGATACTGCAAAATCCCCATTCCCTCCCCACTCCTGGGGAAAGAATATTGCAAAATCTCCATTCCCAACCCACTCTGGTTCTCCGAACTGCTCAAAATTTCTGCTACCGGTTCTCTAGAACCTGTCAGAACCTGCTGGATTTCACCCCTGCAACTATGACTTTACGGCCTATGGACTTCAACTCCCAGAATTCCTGAGTCAGCTGCCTCAGGAATTCTGGGAGTTGAAGTCCACTAGTCATAAAGTTGGCTGGTTTGGGAATTCTGAGAATTTAAGTCCACCAGTCATAAAGTTGCCATAGTTGCCCACCCCTGACTTAGATATCTCTGTGGTGGAATTTGAAGCAATCATATGAAGGAACAATGGCCATACAAAATTCTCCCTATAATAGTGTGACCACATTTGGGTCAGTCTGGTGGCTCAAAAGCTCTACTTGCTTCAAACACAGGTATTCCTTGACTGTAACCGAGCTCAAAATTATGGTCACAATTCATGCTGGTCGGTAAGTGGGTTACCACATGAGGTTTCTGCAACCTTTTTGCAGTGGTTGCTCAGTGAATCACTGCGGATGTTAAGCAACTGTAGCAGTCGTTAAACAAATCCATTGTTTTTAATGGTTGTTTCTTTCGACAGAAATAGGAAGTAAGAGCCAGTTTCTAGCAAAAAAAAATCATTGTAAATTGTGGTCATGTGACTGCTGGACAGTGCAAACGGCTGCAAACACAGGTCACAAAATGTGATTGTGTGAACACAGGGGAAGGGTCAGAACTTTGAATCTGGATTGCAAATAGCCCTGAGGAGGTCAGTCGTAACTCCAAACAATTGCTAAGCAACTGGTTGTATTTTGAGGATTACCTGGACTTAATCTGGGCAGGTCATAACACACACTTTCAAGTTGTAATGGTTATTAAGAACATTGCTTGTTCTATAGATTTTGTAATTGTTCAATACATTACTTATTACCTGTTGTACTGTACATAGAGAGAGGGAAATATATAGAGGATGCAAACCAGGATTGAGCCTTCTCAATTAAAACCAACAACAATCCTGAAAACTACAGATCTAACACAACAATGCACTTTTGAAGATTTTAACCGTGGTTGAAAATGTATATGGAAAAAAATATTTTTAAAAAATTGATGAACTCAAAAATATTCCAAGCTTTTCTTTTGCAACTATCTGGGGGCGGGGGGAGGGGGAAAGAAGAGAAGCATTTTAGACCGTGTTCTTATCCATACTTGTTGATGGGACTGTGTAATTCATATACAAGATTGTTC